CATCTTAATTTGATCATCTACAAAGACCCTATTTTCAAATAAGGTCACATTCACAGCAACTGGGAGTTAGGACTTCAATATCTGGGGGAATGCAGTTCAACCCATAGTGCCGCTTATATAATGGAAGCAATTAAGAAAGTCCAATTTATGCACTTCATTCCCACTCTAACTTCTTTGCCTTCCTTCTGTATTTATTTTAATGGCTCCTTGTGAGTCAATATTAAAATCCAGATGCCTTTCTGACTCTTTGTCCTGCCCTTTCTCCTCACCAGCTTCCCATCCCATCAGGTGCAACAACCCATCTATGCTTTTTCACAAGGAACTGCTTGACCACAAACTTCTAAGTGTACAGGACACCAGGATTTTTATCAATAATAATGAGGGAATTTAGAGCATTTGCACTTCTCCTAAGGGTATCAGGTCAAGAAATAATACATGTATTATAGCTCCTGGGAAAACTTTACTCAAGCTTATTTCCCTTTTCTCACTAATCCTTCATAATGCCCCAGTTTCATAATGTGATTTAGTGAAATTAAACTCAAACAGCCCCAAATTATATAATTAATTATATTTGGCTTCAATTACATTGACTAATTGATCCAAGCCTGCTCACAGGCTACCTGCAGCCTGAGGTGGAATGAGGCAGGTGGTGAGGGCTCATTAGCATAGTGGTTCATGTATGCTAGCTAATTTGATTTTTTAAATTGTTATAAAACTCACATGGAGTCTACCACAAGAATCTCACTTCTTCCAAGCATCCCATGTTATGTGTGCTTCTGTGATCCCTCATCAAGGGGCCCTTGTCATCTCTCACCTGGACAACAGCCTCTACAGTCAGGCTCTTCCTGCTCTAGTCCATTCTACCAAAGCCCAATTCATTTTCCTGACACAGAACACACTAGTCAATGGCGATCCTGAGCCAGGAGTGGGGAGAGGAGCAGTTGTGCTTGTAGGAGGAATCATTGTGTGCCCCACGAGCACTTTTTCCAAAAGTTATTTCTTTTTAACAACTTATAAAGGAGTATGTGGCTGAGATGTTTGTTGAGAACTTGACTCTGATGATATGATTTGAGAGCCTGGTTACTCAACAAATCCATCCATGAGCCATGACAGCAGCACCAGGGAGCTTTCCAGAAATGCAGAATATTGGGCCTTGCCTCAGACTATTGAATCAGAATCTGAGTTTTAACAAGATCCCTGGGTGATGCATTAAAAATTTTTTTTTGAGAAATGCTGTTTTAGAGGAAAGCTCTGTTTTGTGAAAGCAGGGGGCAATCTGTTAAAAATGTGATTCTGACATCAATGGTCAGTCAGACTATGAGATCCAGAGAGGAGACAATCAAAAGAGAAATGTCCCCTTTATGCATTGACTCTCCACACCACCATCCATTTACAACTCCTCTTCTCATTTGCTCCCTGATTTAAGAACTCAGCTAGCTATACCTTTGGCTATAATCACCCCTTTTTTTTTTTCACAAATTCCATGTATTCTTGAAAAATCTTCTGTTGGACATTCTATGTCCCCCAACCTAACTTTCCAGCCATATTGCCTCTTCCAAGTTTTACTATGTACTTCAACCCATAGGTATATTCCTTGGACAGCTTGAACAGACACCATGGATTCTTCCTAAGTGAATTTCCTGGGGGTGGTCTTCTCATACTCTCTCCTAATTGCAATGTCCCTTTCCATGAAGCCTTTTTAAAAAATTATTCCTCAGTCAAAAATGATCTCTGTTTGAATTCTTATAAAATGTTGTATCTCTCTTAAACTGGTAATATTACTTTATTATAATCATTGTTTCCCCCCTAGACTGAACCAACACAGTGCCCAATACATAGTAGGTGATTAATAACAATAAAATGACTGACTGACTGACTGAATGAATGAATCTGTGAAGTCAGGGCCTCACCAGATTATTCCTTGAGACCAGTTAAATTCTAAGAATTATGATTCTATTTGTTTTCTAATTCCCAAGGTGTTGATGCTCAGCTCTCTCTCACATAACACTCTCAGGCAACAATTAAGAATCTGCCAGGGACACTTGCTTGAATCAGAAACACAAGATAATGTCAGTCTTCCTTAGTCTAACGTGTAGCCCAGACTGATGGTGGCTCCAGTGACCACAGGTGCTTCTAGGTAGAGGCAATCTTTGCATGATTTGTGTACTGAGAGCCCTTCTGGTTCACCCAGTTACTGTGGGCCAGTCAGCTTTTAGGGCATAAATTCACCCAAATAATACTCTCTTTAATTCAGAGATCTCAAAGGAGCATTGAGGGAAGAAAGACAATGCCAGGAGATGAAACACCCAAACTATTTGCAATGACTTCTTCCAAAATATCTCATTTGGACTTTCAAAATAGCATTTCCAGGCAAGAACCTCAGAAACAGACCTTATGTCATAAAATTACATCATGTTAATTTTATCTTTCCTGATATTGGCATGCTATATGGTGGTCCAGATTATATTATTTGAATTTTGACCCAACTCCTAACTTCTCTTTTGAGATGTATTAGTATTGGTTTCCTTTGCACAACCAAAAAACTTCAAAGGCTATGTAGCCATTGAGAAACTATTTGTAGTATGAATATCAATGTCATAAACAGCAAAATCAAACTTCCTGTGGCCAACTGAAGAGTTAATATGTTAAAATGAAAAGTGATTGATAAAATGTACCTTAGGGTTTTCTAAATTGTGATAACCTACACATAACATAAAATTTATCATTTTAACCATTTTAAGTGTACAGGTTAGTGGCATTTAGTACATTCACACTGTTAGGCAACCATTACCATCATCCATCTCCAGTTTTTCATATTTCCCAACTAAAACTCTGTACCCATTGAACACTAACTCCCTAGTCTCTTCTTCCCAGCTCCCTGGAAAACACTATTCTGCTTTCTATCTCTGTGAATCTGATTACTCCAGGAACCTCACAGAAGTGGAATTATTCAATATTCATCCTTTTATGACTGGCTCAGTTCACTTCACATAATGTCTTTAAAGTTCATTCATGGAGCATGTATCAGAATTTCCTTGCTTTTTAAGGCTAAATAATGTTCCATTGTATGTTTATACCACATTTTATTTACCCATTCATCCAACATGGACACTTAGGTTGCTACTGTAGATAATGCTGCTATGAACATGGGTGTACAAGGTTTAGTTTAGGTTTTCAAGACAATTTAGCATTTTGAACATGGAGGCAATGTATTTGGAGGGGAAACACAAGCCATAGAGTTTATTATTCCATGTCAAAACTTGCACTGATGTTGATCACTCATCATGCATCAAATAACTAATTCTGCTCATCAGTTCTCCAGTGTGTGTGGCATCCAGTAGTCAGTAATGTGAAAAGGAAATCTAAGCAATGTAAATGCAGATTGTGTGGACTTCACTTGAGCACTGAAGATAGTAAAGATGATCTCTTATAGTAAAGACTGGCATTTAATTAAAAAATAGACTTCTAATAAAATCATTACACTTTAAAAAATTCCCACCTGATTTAGAGTTACCAAAGCTGAACAAATCTTAACTTACAAGAAAATTTCCCAGTTTTTCCCTTTGACTTCCTGATGATTCTCCACAGTAGCACTACCTGGGAGCTTCCTCTCATGGCTTGTGGTGTTTGGAATGACAATGATTTCCTTTGACCACATTCTATATTCTATTTATGCACCTTATGCCACTAGATTTGTTGCCAAAAAGGGAACTGGTATTAATGGGATGCAGTCCTATTGGCAATAATAACAGCATGGATTGCTAACCACATGATAAGATCAAGATGCACAGTTGAATTGGCTGTATTTATGTTCCAGATGCAAGATGATTATCTGACAGCAGAGGCAACATGATTTAATACATAAGGCCCAGGGCCAGCAACTGGGAAATCTGGGCTTTATTCCTGGCTTCATCACTTAGGTCATGTATACATGAGTGGGGTATTTTGTAATTGCACTATTCTTATTGACCCTAAACTGTTTCCCATCCTGCTCCTGCCACCAAACGTGTTTTACTATGTTTAGTTGTAATATGATTGCCTCTCTTCCTTCTCCTTCTACTTCTTTTTTCTTTCCTAGTCTTCCCTATTTCTCACTGAATTGTAGCAACTTTATATTATATAAATAATACATAAATACATTTTATTTTTTAAGTTAAAGGTAATGTTGATTCCCCCTGAATGTTCATTTTTCCAATCCCAAACACCTCTCCATCTCCATCTCTTGTTTCTAATCTTGTTCCTTTTCCTCCTGCTTTTATTTCATTCGTTTTTTTATTGTAGAGACTCTTCCCAATTCTGCACCACCCTCTTTTCCCTGTGTACACCAGCTTGAGTTCCACATGCCACCACAAAATACTCTTCTAAAATACACAATGGTAGGCTTCCAGTTTCTGGGCTGACATGCAATAAAGCTTAGAAATTGCCATTCTGTCCTAACAATAAATAAGTCAAAAGCTAAGCAAACTGAAAAATCAACAACTCTTCTTAGAGCCGTCAGAGAAGGGAAGTCACAAGGCAAACCAAAACTGGAGAGACCAACAGGCAATACAGTGCATTCCAGCTTACTAGGGCAGAATCAAAGTAGCAACCTGTATGGAAACCAGGGCCATAGAATGGAAACCTGCACTGTAATTGATGAACTGCTCAAGGCTCAATGTGAACAACTATTAGAGTTCAACTCCAGAGGGGCCCAGTCATGGGGGAGCCTCTGTAATTTTGTGAGTTTTACCTGCACGAGCTCTGTCAGGTCCTCAGAGGGAATTTTGGAGAAAAATCCTCTCATGTTTCCAGCAGGGGGAAGGGAAAAGGAAGCATTTTGTAATATGCCAGGGCATTCTGTTCTTCTTAATAAGATCTGCCCACAGGAGAAACAGTTTAACCAGAGCCTAACAGGCTAGAGTTTTATCAGAGACTAACCTACCTGAGGAAGGGGAAATACCCAGCTCCAACTGGATCTAGACTTCCATGAGGAGTGAGGGAAATACTCACCCCCAGGCCGTGCTGACCGTCCTCTCCCACCCAGCGGGAATGAGAGAACCGAGCAACATGCGTAGAGTTCACTATCCAGAGGCACAGACTCACTAAAATACTGATATCTAATAATTGTAGGGCTGCAGAACACTTCTCTTCCTCCCACACCCACATTACTAAAGGCTTATTGACAGCAATTCCTTTTACCCAGTTTAACATGTCTGGCTGTCAAGGAAAAATTACAAGACATATAAAAAGGCAAAAAAAAAAATCCACAGTTCGAAGAGACAAAGGAAGCATCAAAACCAGACTCAGATATTGTGAGAATGTTGGAATTATCAGACCAGGAATTTAAAACAACCATGATGACTATGCTAAGGACTAACCGATAAAGTAGACAGCGTGTAAGGACAGGTAAAGAACACAAGCAAGAGATAGAAATTCTAAGAACTGAAAAGAAATTCAGGAGATCAAAAACACTACGACAGTAATGAAGAACAACTGTGACGGACTTATTAGTGGACTGGACATAGCTGAGAAAAGAATCTCTGGGCTTGAGGATATGTCAGGCAGGATCCTCTGAAACTGGGAAGCAAAGAAAAAGAAAGACTGAAGACCCAGAACAAAATTTCCAGGAACTATGGGGTAACCACAAAAAAGTGCAACATACACATAATGGGAATACCAGGAGGAGAAAAAAGGAAAAGTAAAAGAAGAAACATTTGAAACAATAATGACTGAGAACTTCCCCCAAAGTAGTGTCAAAACCAAACCACGTGTCCAGGAAGCTCAGGGAATGCAAGTGGGATAAATAAGAAAAAACAGAACAAAAATACCTACATATCTGTGTGTCATTTTCAAATCACAGATAATCAAAGATAAAAAATTTTTTTTAGAAAGAAGCCGGAGGAAATAACACCTTACTTATAGAGGAGCAAAGGCAAGAGTTACACCTACCTTCTCTTCAGAAACCATGCAAGCAAGAAGAGAATGGAGTGAAATATTTAGAGTGTTGAGAGAAAAAACCCAACAGCTTAATATTTAGTACCCTGCAAAATTGTCCTTAAAAAGTGAGGGAGAAATTAAGACTTTCTCAAACAAAAGTTGAGGGAATTTGTTGCCAGTAGCTCTTCCTAGCTAGCAAGAAATGCTAAAAGTCCTTTAGAGAGAAGGAAAATGACACAGGTTTAAAAAAAAGCCCTCAGGTCTACATAAAGAAAGAAAGAACATCAAAAAAGGCACAAGTGAAGATTAAAATAAAAAATTTATATTTTTCTTATTCCTAATTCATCTAAGCAGGTAACGGTTTGATCAAAATAATAATAGCAACTACGTATTTGATTGTGATGCTTGCATATACACTTATGTAAACTGATACATGTGAAATGAAAGACAAACAATGTAAGGGATAGGAGGGAGGAATTAGGATTATTTTGTTATAAGGTATTCACACTACCTGTGAAGTGGTATCACGTTACTTGAAAGTCGACATGAAAGAACTGTAAATGTATATTGAAAACCTTAGGGTAACCAATTAAAAAAGTGAAAAAGAATTACAACAGACATGCTGAGAAAGGAGAGAAAATGGCATCATATAAGATGCTCAATTAAAACCACAAAAGGCAGAAAAAGAACAAAGAAGAAAATAAGAACAAAGAAAAAGGGCAACTAATAGAACACTGTAACAAATATGATAGATGTTAATCAAACTATATCAGTAATCAGTTTAAATATCCACAGTTTAAGTGCACTAATGAAAACACAAAGATTGTCAAAATGGATCAGAAAATATGATCCAACCGTATATTGTCTATAAGAAACCCACCTGAAATATAAAGACACAGGTATATTAAAAGTAAATGGACAGAAACAGATATACCATGCTAACACTAATCAAAAGAAAATGAGAGGAGCTATATTAATTTCAGACAGAGTAGACCTTATAGCAAAAAATTATCAGTGTAAAAGAGGAGCCTTACATAATGATAAAGATGCCAGTTTCCCAAAAACGCATAACAATTCTTAATGTGGACACCCTGAGGGGGAACATGAAGAAAACTGTAAGCATGTACCAGTGGGCTCCCTGGCAAACCCAACAGGAAGTTGGCAGTTGTAGGCACTGCAGGATTAGAGACTTGGGGAGTACCCACAGGCAGTATTAATGGTCAATTCATCCCTTGTCTTCTTGCAAAAAAAAAAAAGTTCGTGGTGAACCCTGACACTATGCAAACTTAACAACAACCATTGTCAGTGTTCATGCAGTTGTCACAGCAATGATCCTTATTTAAGAAAATTTTGAGGCAAGCACTTTCAGAATATCTGTTGGTCCTGGAATTTCTAATGTTCTTGAAGACCCTGGCCATTAAGGATCCTTCTAATGCTAAAAAAAAATGATGCTAAGAGTTTAGGAAACACTGTATTACTTCAGCATACCAGACACCTAAGAGAAATGGAAACCTCCAGGAAGATTTACATTGGCTAGTTTATCTCAATGTTTTATCTGTCTCAATGATTTATGTAATCAGCAATGTACTTTCTCCAAGATGAAAACAAAACTAGTGAGTTTTCCTAAACTAATCGTTTTTCTCCTGCAAAAGGTAATTAGTGCTTTTTGTCTACTGGGATAAGAGTGAAAGTGGTGATATGGGCAACCATCATGAAGATGCTTTCAGAATAGCAAACAGGTTTTCATGTTCAAGTCTGTGCTGTAACATACAGTGGACACAGAGATCCAGAGCTCACTTAGACACCAAATGCTTATTGTTCAGAACCAATAATAACTATAAAACAGAACAGCGCATACATTGATAAGTCCTTGGAAGGACTTATATAATTGGGATCAAAGAGTATAACAACTTACTAGGCATGTTGTTAATAAGTGAACTGATCATAGCCATTTTGGGGACCTTGCTTAACTAATGATAAGCTTATGCTTCTGGGAGAGAAATAATGTCAGCATAGTCTGCTGCTAACTGTTCTGAGTTATTTAATTTGGCATTTGATCAATGCTTGTGTGTTCGGAGACTTTGCCAATCTATTATTTAATGGAAATAGCACTGCTGGGTCTTAGATTGGGGAGGCCTTAAAGAAACTGAGAAATCCAAGTCATTTCTAGGGCTGAATCAGAAT